ATTGTTCATTTTTCAACAATGTTTGATTCCCCCCACCCCCTCAGGTGTAGAATTTCCTTTACCAATGCACCCGTGCACCATCACCACAGTTCCCTGTGCTCCTCCCTGCCTCCCTCTGATCCCTCTCCCTCCTCCTCCCCTGCAGGATGTCTCTGGTTTATAATTGTCTGTTTTTGCTTTATTGTGTTTTGAATGGCAAAAATATATACATTTTTCTTATAAACCAGAGTAATACAACCTCCTGTCCAGTCTGGACTCCTTCCATCCTACTCAGGTGCTAACACTCCCTGCAAAGATAGCACAGCCACACGCAGGGAGGTCCTCCTCACCCTGTCCAAGGGTGGAAGCTCATACTTCTAGCAGACTTCTTCACTTGTGACCATTCTTTATAAAGTCAAATGACAATAAGAAAAAAATAATATTACACAGAGAGTAAACTTGCAACTTAAAAAAAAAATAAACCAAAACATTGTGTTTATAAGCTTAAATGAAGCAGGCTTGAAATGACCTATTTAACAAGGTAATAACCCAGTAAGCTTTAAATCCTCTGAACTCATACCATATGACATTCATCCGGGAAGTGGAGACTTGGTAGACAGCATGGCAGACAAATCAAAAAAGCAGAGCGATTCTTCCTCTCTTCACAAAATTAGGGAATGATTTCTGAGCTTCCCAGATGATATCCAGAATTCTAAATGTGCTGCAAAGTCTGCTCCATTTTAACAAAGTCATCTATTGATCCTGTTTTATTTTTAACATGTAATCAGATGTACCAGTCTTTTCTACTACTAAATGACATATTTCTACTGGGAGGCCCAGGATTTACTTGAATGATTGGGCACCAAGATTGCCTGCCACAATGGTGTTAGCTCATGATTAGACTAGACATGAATCACTTTTGTCTTTGTTCTGTCCCCTGACTGTTAGATGGAACGGATGATGCCATTTGTCTGATTCCTTGCTGACCTCCGCTCTTAGCTCTTGATCTATAGCTAAACTTTCAGCTTGTCAACAGAGGCTGCACGGTGCAGCATAGAAATCTGTCAGATACAGTTTGAAATCTGTTTGGGTAAAATTTAGTTTCCTGACCTAGGGAAGAACATTAAAAGTTATACCCATTTTGCTAAATAATTTCTGTGAGGATTGGGTTAGCATAAATGTAATAGGGGAATAATTTGATGATGACTTTTTCCTTGTTTTATTTCTGATGTTCCCCATATATAGCCGTGGTCCTTGGACACTCAAGATTAGGGTTTCTATAAAAAGAACACAAGAACAAAACTCACAATAACAACAAAATGACAGATAATATTCAGTTTCTGATGTTTAAACTATGGTTTAGTTTAAATAAAGCAAAGCTAAGACCTTTTGGGTGAAGCTTTTGCCACACGAAAGGAATCATTAAATTCATTTACTTTTTCCTTTATTTACAGTTTTATGTAAGGGGCAAAGGGAGCAGGGATAGGGGCGGGGGGTGGGGGGAAATCTGCCCCTCTTTCCAGCCCAGAGACAATTGTATCAGGGAAACTGGTAGAGGAACAGAAAGTGAAACAGCCTGATAAATGCTCCCTGATCCTTTCCTCTGAACTTTGTTATCGAAGTTGACTGCTTGGGTTGTTGTTTTATTGCTTGTTGGGTCTCAGGGAACAGAACACCTTATAAGGGGTATAAGCAGTCACAGAACCAACCAACCAACCAACCAGTCCATCCAGATTAATTTGGGTTGCAACATGGTGGTAGAGAAATACCTTGAAGTATAACTTCCCAGGCTACTATTTCCCATGAGATATGGACATTGTGTTGGGGGTTAATGGGGCTCCCAGGATGAGGCAAAGTAACCCATGGCCAAGGCCAAGGATCTCTCTGGTCAGATGACCATGAAACAGAGCAAGAACTGATTGGTGCTACTTGGAAGCATTGCCCATAGGTTCACCAACCCAAACAGCAGGCTTGGTACCATTCAGTCAAGCAATATCACTCTCGAGCCCAGCAGATATTTCCAGCTCACAATCCAAATTTAGCATAAGACCAAAGAAACCCTTGTCTCCCAACCTTAGAGGTTGTATCACCAACCTTAACACCTTCTGAGCAACTACACCATCTTAGGGAGAAGGAAGAGAGAGGTAGTATCTGAAAGAGAACATTTTATCCAAATAAGATTTTTTTATATGAAAAAGACCATTTTATATGTTAGATTGGACTAAATTTAAATGCCATTAGGCATTTGTTTTTGTTGCATCTACCCATAGAGTAGGGAGAGGGAAGAACTAGATATTGTTATCTCTGATCACATCAAAGTTGTTGCAATGCACACCTTACTTATTCACCTGAAGCTTTCAGACCCAACTCAGTCCCAGTGATTTCTATTGGAATAAGCAGACAAGAAACTGAAACAGGGTCTGAACACAGCCAAGTCATATTCCAAGAATGTTTTTAACATCCCATCTGTTACGAGCTTCTTCTGCCAATAGAGAGAGTATACTGCTGTGGCCCAGGATAGGAGACCTGGGGAGAGCAGTGGGTTCCAATTCCTTCTTGGTTGCTCATAACCAATCAATAAGCCTCTTTCCCACTTTTATAGGCATGATGTTAAGAGTGTTGAATTTCATGGTAACGAGAGAAAGTATTAGGGACATTTTTGCATAAGCTAATCTAAGAAGACCCCAAACTCTGCTCATGATGAGTGAACAATATCAGTCATTTTATTTCCATGGTTTCCAGGAGATGACAACAAAGACAGACCTATATACAATATCTGAGTAGAGACTGACGTTTTATTTTATTTTTAAAAAAGATTTATTTATTTATGCATATAAGAACTGGGGTATAGGCCAGAGGTGTGGGGGGGTGAGAGGATTCACCAGAGACAGAATGGGGAACAGAACAGGCAGACTGACTGAAATACTCTGCTGAGGGAGCAGTGGGCAAGTCAGGAGAGGCCTGCTGCACCGTGTCGATAGCTCCCCGGTCAGCCAGGGAGCTCATACTCATGCTGCTGAGGCTGCAGACAGCTTCACAGTGCTGTCTTAACCCCTTGCACCACCAGGGAGCCTCAAGACTGACTTTTTAAACAGAGTCCTGTGCTCAACTGAACTCTTAGGACTTGAACCAAAGAAGAAAAAGAAAACAAATGCGAGGCCCAAATGTTTACTTTGTACACCTGGAATTGTATCATAAATTAACAGTGATTCAACTAGTGAAGCTCCCTTGACAAAACAATGCCTTTAAACATACTTGATGCACAATTTGTGTTTGATTTTAAGCAAAATGGATTAGAAGTACCTATGTTTTATTTACCAACAAAGTCAAATCACTCAGTAGAATGAACTGTGTTTCTGCCCAAGCTTTGTAGATCCTAAAGTCTATAGAAGAAAAAAAAAGCCTTAATTCTAAAGGCAAAATAGAACTTTTCCAACTGGCAGCGCTCTTCTTGGTTAATTAGATGGTATTAGGAAGGAAAAGGTTGGCCATGTTATCTAGAAGAAAGTATTATTAGATATGGCATTATATCCTAAAAACATTTAATACCCGGTGTTCTGGTCTCTAACACACCATCTGGAGCAGCTACTTGGGGAAAATTACAGCAAATTGATAGAAATATAAAAATTGCCTCACTTCATTTATTAACAAAGATAAATCTCTCTTGATGAAATATAGCACTTCAAGTATCATTTGTGAATCATGATTTGACCAACAACAAATATAGATAAGGAGTCCCAAGACTTGTGTCCCCCCTTAGAACCATCATCACATGGTACTACTAAGAGTCACATAACTTCTCAGAGACCCATTTTCCTTTTCGTAAATTCAAAATGACATTTTATTTATTTAATATATTTAACATGGAAAAGGTCACTTTTTCCCCCCAAACTATGTTTATTGAGGTAAAGTAGGCTTACATCTTTGTATTTGCTCTGGGGATTATAGGTTCAAACCTCTGCAAATGTATGCTTTAACACTCTGCCAACACCAGTACCTCAACAATCCTCTACTATGGTCTACTAGACCCCTACCCTCCTCCACTCCTACCCCACCACCCTCCCTCTCTGGTTGCCTCAGTTTTGCAGTAGATGTTTAGAGTTTATTTATATTGGTGTGGTTTTGACTGACACGTTGTTATATTTCTTTATATTCCATATATAAGTGAGACCATTCAGTGTTTTTTTTTTCTCCTTTTGACTTTTCTTAGCATTATCTTCTCCAGTTCCACTCATGTTGTCACAAATGGTAGGAGTGCATTCTTTTTTATAGCTGAGTAGTATTCTACTGTACATACATAGCACATTTTTCTGATCCACTCCTCTGTCCTTGGGCACTTAGTCTATTTCCATAATTTAGCTATTGTAAATAGGGCTGCAGTGAACATAGGAATATATTTATCCCTATGAATTAGTGTTTATATATTCTTCAGAAGCTCCCCTTTTATTGGATTTTTTTCCTTCCTAAAAATTGTAGATGGGCTATTTTTAAAGGAATGACATATATGTCTTATGATTGGTCAATAAACAAAAAGTAATCTACATGGAATGAATAGGAACCCCAACTTCCATTAGTACACTTCACTTCTTGTCTCCTAGTAATACTATTTAATTTAATTTTATTCATTTTGTGAATTAAAAAAATTGAAATAACATTGCATTATAACATTATGTAAGCTTCAGGTGGATATTGGTTTATAATGATGGACACAGAGATATAACTTCAATGAAACTTTGCCAAAAAGTTTTTTGTGCTAACGAATTTAAAACTAGCCGTCAATTCCTAAGTCTTATACTCCTTTATTTTCTGACTTAACCAAGGATGGAGTGTTCTGATTAACTGTTTTGTTTATAAATCCCTGATAAATAGACTTTCGTTACAATAACTTTGTTTCAAAAAGCTTCCCATGCTTTCTATGAATTAGGTTAGTATGAGAAGAAAGATTGAAATGAATATGAAACAGATCTCAAAAATAAACAAGCAGCAGTGAATACACCTGCTATTTACTTACTTTTTGCCAGATGCTACAAAAGACCTGGTATAAACTGAAGAAAAACTGCTGGCCTCTCTAAGACTATTTCAGTTTCATCTGGCACCCTGGGAAGTCAAAACCAGCAAAATCATTTTGTACCAACAAGAACAGCAATATGGTAACTTTATGGTAAACATTCTCTATTTTTTATTTGGCAGTATCTTTGGGTTTTCTTTAATGGGTGGATGGCAGTCGAGGGATGGAAATTTCTGGTGGCATGATTCATTTCTGGTTTTGCTAACAGAATTACCATTTTCTATTTAAGAAAAACATTCACCATGTTGAAGCCTAGAACTTGCTTAAAAAATTAACAGTTCTAACCTCAGACTCATAATTTGAATGCACAAAGTATTGCAACTATGTGTAATTATCTTTTGAAAGTCACTTCACTTATTAGTATATAAATAAGTTTTGAAATGTCCACTTGCTAAGTAAATAATAATGTGAGACCAAAGCATTTTACAAACCATTTCATTAAGACATAATTGACATACAAAAAACTATACCTATTTTATGTGTGAGTTTGGAGATAAATATATATGTGTGAAACTCTCGCCACAATCTTTTCCATCAACATAGCCATCACCTTCAAAGGGTTCTTCCCATCCTACTCACTTACTATTTGTGTGTGTGATAAGAACATTTAACACAACATCTACTCTCTTGGCAAAATGTAAGGATACAGGGCCTCCCCGGTGGTGCAGCGGTTGCGTGCTGGGTTGCGAAGCTGCCCACAGCCTCTGCTGCACAGGTTCGATCCCTGGTCGCTGGGCGAGGGTCCCACATGGTGCGCAGACCTCTCCTGCCGCCTGCTGCTCCCCTCAGCAGTGTACTTAGTCAGTCTGCCTGTTCTGATCCCCACTCTCTGGTGAATTCTCTCACCCTCCCACGCTTCTGACTGTGCCCAGTGCTTGTATAAATAAATAAATAAATCTTTTAAAAAAATGTAAGAATACAACATAGTATTAAGTATAGTCTCTATAGGTAACAGTAGATGTACAAGATTTTTTCATCTTATGTAATTGAAGCTTAGTGCCCTTTAACTAATACCTGTCTCTTCTCTCCCCCATACCTCTAGTAACCAGCATTCTATTCTCTGCTTCTATGAGTTGGGCTAATTTAGACTACTCATGTACATAAGACCAAAGTATCAATATCTTTTAAAGTTAGTGATCATGTCATGATAAATTGGAAAAAAATAAGATCTATAATAGACAAAGCACCATAAATCATGATGATTATAAATCCAATTTATTTTGGTACTCCTAAATTCTATGATTTAGGTGGATAATAAACAATGTACATTCTGTCCAAAATAACACTTTCTGATGGAAATGTGTTTTGTTTTTTTTTTAATGTGGCTGCACCTATTATCTGTACCCATCTGGAATGCTTGTGAAAGAAGGCTATGTAATTTTTTTGGCTTTTCTGTGTCATTTTAGGAACTGATCCCATTGTGCTATCCCTAGTATGGGATGGTAATTAAGCAGCTTCATGCTGGATTTCTGGATTCCGTAGTGCCATTGACCTGTGTGCCCTGACATTCCTGTTGGATTCCTTTATGTCAGACACATGCACAGTCCCTGGGTTCCCCCACCCTACCCACTTCTGGGTAACTCTTTCACTGCCCCTATGTTATAGATGTTATTTCATAACCAAAAGCACTCCATAGTTACACAGAGAGGCCTTCTTAAAGCATTGTGTACTATTTAGTGCAAAATGTGCTTTGATATTTTCAAAGATTAAATGTTCTTTTATCACTATCTGACTTCAGAGTCTTAAACCATTCCAAAAACCTCAAAAAGACCATTATTTTGTTTTAATATTCCTTTTCAGGTTATCTATAAGACCCTTTCACGTGATTCTACCCTTTGCACAGCTGGAATACTAAAGGTTTTGTTTGTTTTACTTAACTCCTCCCACATTTTTGGTTTTATTTATTTGTTAAAATTTTCTTCCCCTCCACAGTTTTGACTATTTATATCCTAAACACCCTTCTTCCAAGCTGTATTTAAGTTGCATTTCCTCCATAAAACCTTTTTTTGAATCTCCATCACCCCCTGGATAGATGTAACCTCTCCCTCACCTCTGCATTATGATACCAGTTACCTAGTACTTCTCTTATAAAGAGACGTAATCATAACCTAACTCACATTTGTTATTTGTATGCAATTCTCATTTTTCCTAATTATAGCTATAATAATAATGGTAGCTACTGTTGTTTTAAGGGCTTATTATGTGACAGGCACTGTGCTAAACATTATTCCTTACAACAGCTCTATAAAGCAAGCATTTTGATCTTTATTTCACAAATGAGTAAACTGAGGTTTAGAAGTTCAAGGTGACTTGTCCAATCAGTAGTTATGTGGGGTTCATTAAGGTCTCAGTCCAACTCCAAAGCCCATTCTCTTAGCCACTGCTTTATTAACTAGATCAGGAACTTCTTTAAAAGAGAGATGGAGAAAATTCATATTTACTGAGCACCTGCATTGTACCTGGTACTGGAGCAGGAACTTACATGGATACTTTCTCAAACATCTGTGAGTTTCATGGTCTAACTGACATTTTGCAATTGAGAAAACCAAGACTCACATAAATACATTTTTTGTAAAGGAACTGATTGGAATGGAGATCTGTAATGCATATAACTGGTGAGAGATTGAGAGCCAGAATATATAACATGTCCTACAAGTCAAAAGGGAAAGCAATACTACCCTAAAGGGGAAAATGCAGCTCTCCTCCCAAGATTGCCCATCTGTGTCTATGCAGGTGTCTCTCTCATTTTCTTTCTCCTTTTTCTAATAAACCTGTTCTTTTAAAATGTAAAACCCAAAACACAAAAAAGGTGAAGTGCAGAAGACATGACCGGGAACTTCAGCAAAGAGGAAATCAGAATGATTAAAAACATAGGAAGTGATGTGCAGTCTTATTAGAATGAGGGGAAATATAAATTTAAACAACAAGTAGCTTTTTCATATCCTTCAAAATGACAACAATTAAAATACCTGACCACCTTAAATGTTGGGGTCATACATGTTAATAAATGTTGAAGGAATGAAAATTAGTATAGTCATTTCACAGAGAGATTTTAAATGCCTTTGTGATCTATAATAGCAATTTTACTTCCTGGAATATACTCCATAAAAAATGTCCCCAAGACAAATATAAGTGTGTTCACCCCAGTATAGTTTGGGGAATGGATACTGTATAGAATGGCTAACATACTGGAATATTTTACTGAGTTAAAAAGAATAATTGATGTGTAGCAAAAGTAAATTTTAAGAACATATCAAATTTTAAGAACATATCAATTTAAAAAAGTTGCAAAGGTGTGCTATTTAATAAAAATTAAAACACAAAAATACCAAATATTTCTTATGAATATAATACAGATTAAAACCTATGTAGAATATACCTAGTAACAGTATAAAAACATGTTAAAAGTGAAGTTGCTAGTTCATGTAGGTATTATAAAACTTTTTTTCCAAAATGGCTGTGCTCATTTTCATTTCCAATTCCAATATACGAAACTCCTATTACTTCAGTGTTTGTGGTTGTCAAGTATTTTCGTTTTTGCCAATTGGAAGAGTGTGAAGTAGCTTACTTTCAATTTGCATTTTCCTTACTAAATCATCTTTAGTAAGGCTAAAGATCATTTCATATGGTTCCCTTTGGGGAAGGAAATGCAGGTATGAGATCAGAGTTTGTATTTGTTTTCTATCTCAAGTAGCAGATCACCACACATTTAGCAGCTGAAATAACACCCATTTATCACCTTAGTCTCTGTAGAAGTTCAGGCTTTGCTGTATCCTGTGGTCAGGCTCTCACCAGGATGACTTCAAGTGTTGTCCACATTGCGTTCTCATTTGGAAGCCTGACTAGAAAAAATCCACTTCCAGTATCCCTCTGGTTGTTAGCAAAATTCATTTTCTTACAGCTGTAGAATTTACAGCAGCTACTTTTTTCAAAGTAAGTAATGAGAAGAGAGTTTCTGTTATTGCCAAGTTTCGAATCTCCAGATCTCTTTGAAGGCCCAAACAAGTTAATATCCATTTTAATAAACTTAAATGCAACTGATTAAGGCCTTTGCCTGTGCCATATAATGTAACCTAATCAAGTGAGTGAAATCCCGTCATCTTAACCACATTCTATTGATTGGAAACAAGTCATTATTTATTTTTTTTAATGATTTATTTATTTATGCTTATAAGAACTGGGGTATAGGCCAGAGGTGGGTGGGGGGGGCGGTGAGAGGATTCACCAGAGACAGAGTGGGAAACAGAACAGGCAGATTGACTGAAATACACTGCTGAGGGGAGAAGCAGGCGAGTCAGGAGAGCTCTGCTGTGCCATGTGGGTAGCTACCTGGCTGGGGATCGAACTCATGCTGCAGTGGCTGCGGATAGCTTTTTAGGTTGTGTCTTAACCCCTTGTGCCACCAGGGAGGCCCACAAGTCACAATTTCTGTGACTCAAATGGAGGGGACTATACAGAAGTGTGGGTCAATGGGTTTCATCCTGGAGTGTGTTTAACACAAGGCTACAGACTAAAACAAGTTTTCTAAATTTAACATCTGTTCAATCTTGATGCTGTATATGTGATACAGGGTACCAAGGGGCACTAAAGCTGGCCAAGGCAAGGACACTACCCAGTAGTTTACTGGTCACTGTCTGAGTTCTTGACCCTCATGCACAATTGCAAAACTACTCAGGCTCAGGGAACAACAACAATGGAATTTATTTAACAAACCATGGGAAAACAAAGTGTTACCAAGGCCAAAAAATGGCCATTGGCCTCACCCAAAGCAGTGCCCAGTGTTTTTAAGTCCTAAACAAAAAACATCTAAGATGGACTCTTCCCTCCACTGAGGACACAGAGCTCCCCTCTCCCAAACAATAGGTCATGCACCCAAGATGGTGCCTTCTCACCACTGAGGCCTGGAGCACGTGACAAAATGAATATAGACCAGGCTCCAACTCACAAAGACAATAGAAGACACAACAGAAGATGCTCCCAGAGCTGCCGAGATGCCCCAGCACAGCCCCAGAGAAGTGACACTCAAAACAGCAGCTGCAGTGGCTGAGCCACCCGACAAATGGCCACACTCATGCAGTTGAGCAAGGTGCCCAGCTCCAGGTCTTTGCCTTCTGTGCCAGACTGTAACAACAGCAAAACCAGAAACCGTTTCAGTCGCTTGGGTTCTTACAAAGACTCCGAACTTTTTCTCTCTGAGGTTGGCTGCTGGAGGCCTCTCCACATCCTTCAGAAACCTGCAACAGCCTTCTGGAAGATGGAGAAGACTTCAGCATGGTGGGGGCCAAAATCGCTGACCCCAGAATCATTGAAGATCCAAAAACACTCAATCCCAACACTGACTGCTCAAACGCTGAATCCTGAACACCAAATGCTTAAACGCTGGAACCCGAACACCAAACCCAAGGGACTGCTTCTGAAGTCCCTGATATTTCTTATCAGAGTCTCCATCCCAAAATGTGATACTTTTTAGCATTTTCCCTGGGACTATCTATCCTCACCAACAACCCCCTTCAGGGGGCACCATCTGTAACAGTCTTTGGCTTCAGCCACCAGTTACATGTGCACAGATATCTGTTACATTGTCTTTGGGATTTTCTTCATCATTAAAATCCAGCAATTCCACTACTAGGTATTTACCCAAAGGACACAGAAACATCCATTCCAAAGAGCACCTGCACCCCTATGTTTATAGCAGCACTATTTACAATAGCTAAGCTTTGGAAACAACCCAAATGCCCAAAAATAGATGACTGGATCAAGAAGGTGTGGTACATATACACCATGGACTATTACTCAGCATTCAAAAAAGATAAACACATGCAATTTGCAGCAACATGGATGGCACTGGAAGGGATCATGCTCAGCGAAATAAGCCAGAAAGAAAAAGAAAAACACCGGATGGTCTCACTCATAGCAGGAATCTAGAAAACTTAAATAAGGGACCAGGAAAAAGATTAACTATAAGAAAGTAAAAATCAAAATCAACAAACAACTATGAACCAGAGACACTCTATGGGGGGTGAGGGGCGGGGAGGGGAGGGATTGGGGTCAAAATAAGGGGGTCGCAATTGTATGGGGAATATAAAAATAAAATTTATAATTAAAAAAAAGCATTCCAAATGTGAGGAATACATTGGTTTCTTAAAATTTTATTTATTTATTTTTTGCAGAGAAGAACTGTGGTGTGGGCCAGAGGTGCAGGGGGTAGGGTGGGATGGGTAAGAGCATTCACCAGAGACAGAGTGGGGAGCAGAACAGGCAGTTCTACTGAAATACACTACCGAGGGGAGCAGCGGTAGGAGACAGGAGAGGTCTGCTGCACCATATGTGGTTTAGCTCCCTGGCCTGGGAATAAACTCAGGTCCCAGCAGTAATAGTGCTGAAATTGGACCCCTAGGCCACCAGGGAGGACCTTCTTTCTTTCTTTTTCTTTTTAATAGTAAATAAGTTCATCAACAAAGCACAATTCAAAAGACCAACAGAAACAGGAGGCAGAAAAGTAATAGGTGAAAGACATTTTTACTTTGAGCACCTGATTCTGAGAGCCCCAGAGCTGTGTGTGCCTTTGCTACTTTTTTTGGTCTGTTTTGTAAACCAGTGGCCCCATGGAGCCAGTATCATCCCTTTATGCCCAATTAACAAAATGCTTCTATTATGGTTTCATTTGATGAAATAGTAGATGGGCTCCTCTTAGTAACTGGACAGCATCTGGCTTATTGTGATAGCTGCAATCTAAAAGCCCCTGCAAATCTAAAACAATCAGGCTCCGAGATCATTAAATACATTTTGGTCACATTCCTGCGGAAAGAAAATTAATCCCACCTCCAGTAACTTATTGACAAGGTGACTGAAATTGACAGCTAGTCAAATGTGGCTTAAGTCTAAAGTCTAAAAATGCATTTAGTTTACTAGGCGTTAACAAAGTATAACAAGTTTCAACAAAATGTGAACAGACTGGAGTCTTGAACTATATAAACATATTTTGTTGCCAAGAGAAAACATTGTAGAATGGTTTGAGGAACTCACAGAATAAGGGGTATGAGTAAGTTTATAAGCAGGGAAGGAGAAACCAGTTCTCTTTCAGAAAGGCAATGAATAGTAAAGGTATTAACATCTGATATAACATTTTCAAACTCTCCTCCTTGACCCCCTACTTATATTACACTGGTATGCATTTACTTTAAATTGTTTTATTTTGTCGGTGGGTTAGTTTTAGTTCTTTCAGAAACACCTAGTGCAAAGAAACACAAGGAAATTGCAAGTCCCTTCTGGAAAGTATTTCAACCTTCTCTCAGCACCATTCCTAGAAAATCGGGTTCAAAGTCCTCCATCTATAGGCATAAATGTGGCCCAGAAGAAACCATACCATATAGGCCTCTCTGATAACTTCTGTAGGAGATAGGTCTTGTTTGAACAAGGATTATGGTAGCTGGGAAGAGCAGTTGCAACAGGCAACAGGGCTTCCTGGTGGCTGGCAAAGAACTGTGTCAGGGAGTTGCAGTTAGACCTGCTCAAGCTTAATGCCAGTGAATGGTTTGTGCATAGTGTGTATGTTAATGAGCTTCAGGTTCTTGGGTCTATGTGACACAGAACTTCCTCCTCTTGTGTGGATAGCTTTGCTGGATTATTACCTTAACACTACTATGGCAGCTCTCTGTAACACTTTACTTTGAAAATTGGCAGTGTACAAACATGGACCTTTATTATCACAAAAATTTTCTAAAATTCTGGAATCCAGAAGCAACTTAGTAGCTAGATTTCTGGTTGAGGCTTGGGATCTGTCACAAGGGTCTCATCAAGGTGTTGACTGAGGCTGCAGTCCTCTGAAGGTTTGACTGGACCAGGCACTTCCCTGATGGTGGCCTCACAAGGCTGTTAACTTATATTCTTGATACCACAGTCATTCTCTCAGCTGCCTGAGTATCTTCATGAGATAGCAGTTGGCTTCCCCCAGAGGGAGGTGAGAGAGAGAAAGAGGGAGGAGTGGAACAAGGCAAAAGTGCACTGTTATTTTACAACCCAGTCTCTTGGAAGTCTCACAGCATTACATCTAAAGTTTTCTGTTGGTTGCAGAGACCAATCCACAGTGAGGGAGAGAATCGCACAGGGTGTGACTACCAGAGGCAAAGATCATTGGGGAGGAGGGTGGAGGTGCTCACAGGCAGGCTACCGTAGCCACTCCAAATAATGAATTATTGATACTGGCTTCAGTATTTCTCTGTTTCAAATGACCCTTTTCCCCTAGTGCATTAAAGTCTGTATTGTTTTTATTGGCGTTAAAAAATTCTGAAAATGCATAAGTAGTGTTGAACTTTATTACCCATCCAAAAGTATTTTCACTTTAAAAGAAAGGCTTCTTTTCAGGGATAATGGAAATATTCTGGAATTACTTCATGCTGATGGTTACACAGCATTGTGAGTATACTAAAAAGCATTGAATTGTGTACTTGAAAATGCTCAAAATAGGTTATGTGAATTATATCTCCATCAAAAATATTTTAGAGGGAGCCTGAATAGCATTGATATCAAGTTTGCTGTGTCAGAAATACTTATGCTTCCTTTTAACACTTTATGTTTTCTCTCTCCTTTCAGCTCAGAACTTGGTGTATAATGAATAGGCTATCAAGCCCTGGAAAATTTGATTATTGGAGCTACACTCATGGCTGGGTATTACTGGAAGTAACAGTGAATACTGGCACCAGGTAATTGCAATTTTTTCCAAGTGCCATTGACATACATTCGTGTGATGCAACATCCATGATATTACCCTCAGAAAGTACACAGAGCACATTTTATTGTGACCTAACACATGGTTAGTATACAGAGCCTATTTTACTCTGACCTAAGAAATGTTATCCATAGATTTGCATATTCTTTGAGCAGCTCCCCAAGATCACTTTTGTCAGGACATTTTTTTGCATGATTTGTGATTCCATTTGGCAGTTGTTTTCCATTATGATGCATTGTGTTGTCAGTTGCTTGGAGAGGCTCCAGTTTTGTTTTTCTTTTATTTCTTGTATTTAATACCAGTGGGCACCTGTGAGATCTTTGTATGCCAAAGCTCCCTGAGTAGTTCTTGTTTTTGTCATACAAACACCACTCTTACCAGTGATCAGGAAAACAAAGTCAAAATCACCTGAACTTACTGTCTGCGCAGTGCCAGGGCCTGGATATCAAAGAGTGTTTCCTTTGAGCGTCTTCACAGATTGAAATGCCTTAGTATGCCAAAAGCAAACACTTTGCATTGGTAATATAGTTTTTTGTTTTACCTAAGAATGATATTAAAAGTATTTAAGGACCAGTAAAGTTGTATGAATTAATAGAGAAATCAATATGTAAATTAAAATTTATAATTCTTTTAAAAAGTGTGTATCTTAAATCACTTGCCCCGTGTTTAGATTGTGGTGTTATTACACATAGCACTCTAGTCATCTCCTAATCACTCATTGATTTCAAAGATAGTTTGCATGATGTTTTGCTTGATCTGGCTGTCACTAGTTCCACAGTGGCCCTGTGTGAGCTCTGACTGTCCTAAGTTTTCTCCACATCAAACTTCTTTACAATTTCCCTGTTAAATTCACCATGTCAGGGTGATCTGTGATCCCATGAAGTGTCAGTGTCATTTATCGCAGCACTCAGATTTTTCCAGTGCTCTCAGTAGCTCCAGTCCTCCTCACCCTGCCCTAGACCCCTATTGTCTAGAACAGGATTCCCTGGGGCTGGTTGCAGCTAGGAGGCTGACCTAGGTTGTGTGAGCCAGAAGGGGAGGGGTGAGGAGCAGAGGAAGTGGAAATCAGGAGAGGAGGAGAGAGCTCATCCAGATAGCCAGGGGTCCACCTCTCTTGCTGCCTCCTGCCACAAAGACAGTAGGAGCTGGTGGTTGCAGGCCCTATAGGGTCACCCAGGGGTTAGCCTTGCAGGTTTGAATTCAGCATCTAAGCAGCACAAAACAAAATGGGGAGAGAGGAGAAGAAGAAGGGAGGGGAAAGGAACTGCAAATGGCAGTTATAACAGGCTGGACTCCAAGAGGCAGAAGAGCCTTGTCTAAGGTTTGGTGAACCTTAGAAAGAAGGGTGCAGAAGGGCATGCCAAGGGGAGACATGGCTCTTCTGTCCAGCAGCTTGCTTTTGGTGTCTGGAAGGAAGCCAGTTACCCTTAACCAGAATAGATTCTTTTCTTCACAGTATGAGGAGTGGTCACTTCCTTCAAACAAACTTGATGTCAAACAGAACTCCCCTAAACTGCCTGAGGGGTAGCTACTATGCAGTGAGGTATTGGAACCCAAACAAATACCATCTTAGCCAGGCAGATCCCTAATCACTACCTGAGCCTATACCCTCAGTCATCCCTTGGGCAATGCTGAGCCTTGTTTGGGGGGCTTACCAGAAACATGTGTCTCTACTTTGTGCCTTATTCATCCTCCCCCACCTGATAATTTTAAACCTGGAGAAGATTTCCCAATACCTGAAACAAGGCATCTTCAGTTGGGGCTCCAACTGTTTTCCAAGGCTCAAGCAAGAAAAGTATATTAAATTGTAGTATGTGAAATTTATGAGACAATCTAAGTGTGCTGGGTTTATATTATCTATTAATCTTAATATTTATCACATTAAATGCTTGTTCTGATTAATACCATTTACTACAAGTTAGTACTATTGTACTAACAACCACTTGGGATGTATGTTTTTCTTTCTTCCTTTCTTTTTAAAAAATTTATTTTATTTATTTATGCATACAATAACTGGGATGTAGGCCCAGAGGTGCAGGGGGGTGAGAGGACTCTCCAAAGACAGAGTGGGGAGCAGAACGGGCAGATCAACTGAAATACACCACTGAAATACTGAAATACAGGGGTGAGGCAGAAGAGCAGGAGAGGTCTGCTGCACCATGTGGGAGGCTCCCTGACTGGGAATCAAACTCATGCTGCAGTGGCTGCTGATAGTGTGTTAGCACTGAGACTTTAACCCACGTGCCACCAGGGAGGACCCAGGGTTGTTTCTTTTTCCTTTTTTGAAGATTTATTTATTTATGCATACAAGAGCTAGGCTACAGGCCAGAGATGTGGGGGAGGGAGGGTGGTGTTGAGAGGATTCACCAGAGACAGAGCAAGGAACAGAGCAGGCAGACTGACCGAAATACATGCTGAGGGGAGCAGTGGGCGAGACAGGAGAGGTCTGCTGGCCATGTGGGTTGCTCCCTGGCTGGCCAGGCGTTCGAACTCGTGCTACAGAGGCTGCAGATTGCTTTATAGTGCGGTGCTTAACTCCTTGCACCACCAGGGAGGCCCAGAGATGTTTATTTTTCAATACTCCTGTAACCCCAACAATACTGGTTGGTACTGAGTCAGCTATGTCTGGGACCATCCAATATAGGAACCTAAAAGTCACTTAATTGGCCATGTTTCAAGTCTATTTTGTGGACTTAGAAAAATCTATGAAGAATATGGGGATTTATATTTGGGGGATGTTAAATCAACACATTTTTCTATCATTTAAAATGACTAAATCCTAAGTCCCTCTATGGCTGCCATATCAAGTGTCACTCAATGGCTAACTCAGATCATAGAATGGCTTCCAGGGCATAGGGGAGGTAGCCTAACTGCACGAAAGCTGAGTTGAGAGAATAAGTATCTTGGCGAGAAATATGGACATCAGAAAGGACTATGAAGGAAAATTCAATTCCTGTGCCAGGTGGACTTTGGAAGGAGAAAGGACACAGGGAACAGGAAAGGAAGCCACTGTCATTATGGTAGTCTTTCCCCTCCTGGACAATTTAGCATGGAGAAGAGATGAGATAGATATGATGGGGAAAAACAGGAAAAGAAAGAGCTGTCACAGGAAAGACCTTTAAATTCTGTACGCTTCTGGAACTCTGGGAGAAGAGAGAATAATGCAATGTTACCACGAAACACAGACAGTTGTTCCTGGGTCAATATGAACTGTAATGCTCACAGGGCCAGCTGGTGTCCAGTCCACCTGTGTTAACAGTCTCTGACACAGTTTCTCTCCTGGACAGTGATGAGAGTGCTGTCACCATCAGACCTGTTCCAAGGCAGGATTCTGGTTTTTGATTCTGGCTAAGTGACCTCTAGGCTTAAGTTTTCAGTTTACAGAGACTCTTTCCTGCTCAAAATTCTATCACCATCATCCTTTTCTGTTTAAACAGTGAGTTATTTTTCCTTATTGTCTACTATGAACTATGATCAATTGTAAATTAACAAAAGGAATGGAATTCTGTCGGGAACAGATCCTAAGATATGATGTTGGTTAAATGGAGGAGTTAGGATTCCAACATTTTAGGTGACACGACTCTTACTCTGCAGTTGTACGACTGTTAAACTATCATCTATTGTACCTTTGGTCACAGGGTGCAGTATTAAAAGAACCAGGAGGAGTGATTCAGGATGCTTCTGAGTATGGTGTACTGTTGTGAATTTCACAATACAGAGATGAGCATGGATTGAAAATGACCATCTGAAAAGCAGAGAGGGAGGTGGGAGACTTAGAGGAGATAAAGTTGGAGTAAAAGATAAGCTTCATCTGCCATACACTCCCCTCATTCTTCCCATTCACCATTCACTAGCCAAGAAGAGATAAAAATATAAGGAAATGCTGACTTATGGCTGAAGTTTGCCCATACAAGGCTACTATTTTGAATAAAGTCAAAGCAGAGGGCGTTCACTGAAGACCATGGGAATAGATAAGGTACAGAGAATCATGGATAAGGGAGTATGAATTTGTAGATTCAGGGATTCTGCAAGCATGCTCTGACTGTAGTCATTAGCTCAGCTCATAAAATAGATAAGAAACAACTTAACTCTATTCCTATGACATTTTTAAAGTAGATATGTTAAAGAACCCCCAATATTTGCCAACAATAGGTAGAATTGTTCAACTCTTTGGTAATCTCTACCCCACTAAATTTCTGTTTAGGATGCTGGAACATGAGAAGCTATATCTGCACCTGAAAAGACATTGCAACACCTAGAGACACTAAAATGGAAATTGAATACATTAGCTGAAAGAGACATTGGGTTATTTTCCTTTAAGAATGCAGTAATTGTAATTTGTGCAACCATGATCCCACTTTGTTTTTTTTTTTAAGATTTATTTATTTTTATACAAGAACCGGGGTACAGGCCAGATGCGCGGGAAGGTGAGAGGATTCACCCTAGACAGAGCAGGGAACAGAACAGGCAGACTCACGAAATACACTGCTCAGGGGAGCAGCAGGCGAGACAGGAGGGGTCTGCTCGCCATGTAGGATTCTTGCTGGCTGGCCAGGATCGAACCCGCACTGCAGAGGTTGCGGACAGCTTCATAGTGCGGCGCTTGACCACCTGTGCCACCAGGGAGGCCCCATGATCACACTTTGGAAGTGTAAATAGAAGTAGAGTGTGTTTGGATGTTGAACTACTAAAAGATATTCTGTCTGTAGATGAAATAGTTATATGCAAATCCTACATCTACATTAATCACTTTCTTTTTGTTCAGGTAGATCATGTACCTAATCAGAAATAAGTTTAGTCTGAAGTCCTATCCTAGTCAATCGTGGTGATCCCATTCTCTTGGCTAGTGATTGATTTAGGCAAAGACATGTGAGGTAATTCTGGTTCATGAGGCAAGAGGAGAAATCTGGTAGGGCTATTTTTTGTCCTGGAAAAACAAGAGACAAAAGAAAAGAACAAAGTTAGAGAACTTAC